TATATCACCACCATAACGTACTTCTATGGGACCTCGGTGAAAGTATATACATTATTTATAAAACTCTGTCAATAATTTAATACCTATGGCCCATTTTAGGGGATCAATTTATAATTTGGTACGCTGACTGTATTTTTTATTGAAGATCAATTCTCGACATTAGGGGGAGATTAGTATCCAAAATACAAAATAATGTTAAGAAATTCCATTGATGAAAAAGATCTTCAATATTTATATCCACGTACTAGTCAAACTGAACCAGAAGTTCACATGATAATCTGCTAAGAAAAGAGTGACTAAGCCTCATATTCATGTTGAGTAAATCATTGATGATTTGGTACGCCAGAAGCGTACTGCACCAGAAGCATAGGAATGTTGAGTAAATCATTGATGATTTGGTACGCCAGAAGCGTACTGCACCAGAAGCATAGGAAACTTGTTAATGAAAAAAATAAAAGTCTGCGGCACACCAAATCTAATATAGAAAGACAGTCACTCCCATAACCTTCGGAAGAGGCTTGTCCTGAAGACGAAATCTCCAGTAAATTACACGTGCACTTGATAATCATAATATTGGAGATGCGGAACGACCAAATCCAATTGTTAAGGAAAATGATGAGGATTTGGTTGACATAAAATAAGAATTGAAGTGGCCACGAATTTGTGAAAAAGGAGAAATATATAATAGAAATATAAAAGTTGTCGACAACATAGTTACCTCTACAGTTGCTCTTACTATCTCTGAAAATAATCTGGATCCAGAACCTAAGTCGGTAGTAGAGTGCTTGAAGCACTCGGACTAGGTGAGATGGAAAAGTGGCAATTGAGGCTGAGCTAAACTTGCTAAAGTATTTTGAACCTGTAGTCCATATATCCTTGCAGGATATAAATGGGTCTTCGTAAGAAAAATAAATAAAAATTGTAAGATGGTGAGATATTAAGCGAGATTCATAGCTCAATGGGTTCACGCAGAGACCCGACATCAATTTAGATGTAAAATATTCTCCTATTAATGATTGTATTACGTTCTGCAAGTTAATATCTATGGCAGAAACTATGAATTTATATATGCAGTATATGTACGTCATAGCCATACTTTTATATGTGTCATTAGACGCTAATATTTTTATATGAAAGTCCCCGATGGACTTAAAATTCCTGAATTGAGAGAAAACAAAAATCGCAACATGTATAGCATTAAATTGCAAAGGTCGTTATACGACTTGAAACAGTCGGGTAGAATGTGGTATAACCGACTGAGTGAATTGCAAAGGTCGTTATACGACTTGAAACAGTCGGGTAGAATGTGGTATAACCGACTGAGTGAGTTCCTCTTGAAGAAGAGATATGCAAATAATAAGGTATGCCCTTGTTTGTTTATAAAGAAATTTGAAAACGGCTTCTGTATTATCTTAGTCTATATCGATGATATAAATGTTATTGGAACGCACAAGGAGCTTACAGAAGCTAGCTCATGCCTAAAGACGGAGTTTGAAACGAAAAAAACTTGGGAAAAGCCAAGTATTGTCTCAACCTACAGATCGAGCATGTTCCTAAAGAAATATTGGTATACCAGTCAACCTACCTGAAGAAGGTCAGATTTTAAATGAATAAATCTCATGAACTCAGCACACCAATGGTTGTTAAATCCCTTGAAGTGGATAAAGACCCATACAAACCTAAAGAAGATAACGAGGATATTTTAGGACCCGAAGTCCCGTATTTGAGCGCGCTATTGAAGCACTTATTTATCTTACAAATTGCACCATGCCTGATATTGCATTTGTGTTACACTTGCTAGCAAGAATTAGTGCATCTCCTGAAAGGAGATATTAAAATAATGTTAAATATATCCTCTGGTATCTTCAAGAGATCTTTGTTTATTCTATATAAGAAATCGAAATATGACATTGGTTGGCTATTCTGATGTTGGTTATATGACTGATCCCCATATTGCCAAATCTCTGACTGGTTATGTTTTTTTTGCAATGGTACTATTATTTCTTAAAGGTCTATTAAGCAGACAATGTTTACTAGTTGAAACCACTCAGAGATTGTTCCTCCATATGTGCCCCATGCGAACGTGTAAGGTTCAAATCGTCGATAAAACATTCAATGATCGTGTGACATATTAAACAAGGATATTACCCCCGCTGTCTTTTTCTAAGGACAATGTAACTTGTGTTGCATTAATGAGATGTGAAAAATTTTTATCCACTTGTGCTCGAAAATAACAATAAAATTAACATAGATAAGTTCGCTCTAAGTAGTGACAATCTAGACGATTTGATCACCAAATCCCTTAATACATCAACTTTTAATTTTATGGTATCGTGCTTGGCCACCACGGTATGCATAGATTTGAATATTTGTTGTCTTGAGGAGGAGTGAATTATTTTTCAGAATAATCCTGAAGATCAAACCCCGAAAGCGGTGGCTGTACTCTTTTTTCCTTAGCTAAGTTTTTGTCCCACTGGGTTTTCTTAGCCAAAGGTTTTTATCGAGGCAGCTAATGCAACACAAGTTTGGATCCCGAAGATCTATAGTTGTACTCTTTTTTCCTTTGCTAAGTTTTTATCCTACATGGTTTTTCTTAGCGAAAGGTTTTTAACGAGACAACTGATGTAACAAAAATAATGTATGTATGTCATGTACTCTTTTCCTCGACTAGTTTTTCCCACTGGTTTTTTCTAGCGAGGTTTTTAACGAGGCATTGACATCTAGAAGTAATGTCCAAGGAGGAGTGTTGAAATCTAAAAGACATTTTGTTGAAATCTAAAAGACAAAATATATGTGAACATTACTTTGTATGTGGACTATTAACTTGATGTCATTTTATCTTCCATCATGTATCTATAAATTGTACGATGTATGAAAATGGAATAGATGAAGAAATATTACAATTTCTCTTCTTCTCTTGTCTCTTGTCTCTTGTTTCATTTCTTTAGTATATTACATCAGTAGCCAAATTATCTATTATTACATTACAAAATTGGTGTTCTTTTATTTTATTTTCTGGATACTGGAGAGGGAAATTGGTGTTTTGTAGTCAACGAAATGATGTATTATGACTAGAGGTAAAATATAATCCATAATCCAAATAGATGAAGCTGCTCTCACTTTAAGTATGTATACTTTTCTAGCTTATACTAGGTGCGATTAATCGAAATTACTTGTGTTACAGCTAGAACTTGATTCTCCTTTGTAATCAAAATTTAGCATTTAACATATAACTATAATTTAGAAAAAAAATGTTATGAAGGAACTCCATAAATGAACAAAATCGATCAATTCACAAGTATAAAAATACATTGAAAAAAGAAAATGCAAATAATTAAATGGTAACCTTCACTATAATCCAAGATAAAAACTCTAAAAATTTATCTTTAGGATTTACTGTTGGGTCAATTCTAACACGAGATCACATGAATTTAGATCATGTCATTCGAGACATACATAACATAACCAAGTATTACTAGTTTGTATTATTCAAACTATAAAGAAATGAAAATATTGTGGGTCTTATGTCTCTTATTAAACTTCGATTACTTTGCTAGATCACTTCCCTCCACGTAGGAATTAAACTAAAATATGCAAAATAAAAGTCTAACTTGAGTTTGGCAAGCATCAATTATGCAACATAGATCTACTTTAGAAAAATACAAAGTGCACTTGGGCTCATAACATCAAATGTGCCCAAATAAATGTTAATAATTGAATAATTAGATTTCAAGATTTATACATAAGATACAAATATTAACATCATTTAGATGCACATTTAATTCAATGACCATCACCAGTGAGGGGCTGTTTGGTTGTTGTTGGTAAAGTTGTGTATTTATGACACAACTTGAAAAGTTGTTGTCCACCTCATCAATTTTACTTTTATACTTTTCTTTGTTTGTTTTTGATTCCATTGGAATCATAAATTGCTTGTTTGGTTTGCAAATGTAGCTTTAATTGTTTGTTTGGAAAGTGTAAAAAGTGGTCCCTACTCAAATGATCATATTGGTTGGAATTATTTTTTATTATTTTTTCCTGACTTCAATGTCAGCTTTCTTCTAAAATCATGTCTTTTTTTTTATGAAATCACTTTACAAGCTACATCAGCATATGAAATCACTTTACACTATTTTCACAACTACAAACAAACAATTGAAAGTGATGAAAGCTGACATTGGGACCCACTTTTTTACACTTTCCATCCTTTTACATGGTAAAAACATACAACCAAACAGCCCCTGAACTCTTTCCGATCTACGTACTCTGCTTACAGCCCTAAATGCTCCCAGCAGCCTCCCATGTGAAAGCATGCCCTGCAAAAAATCAACTGAGCCCCAGCCTCCATAATGAAAGGAATCAAAATACCCGCACACAGTGACATCCATGCATGTGACACTTAACTCCTTGATATTGAAGTGAATTAAATGCATGTTTGCTACTTGCCACCCACCCTATCATAAATTTGTACCAAACTCTAATAAAACACTTCTTGCATTATGGATACTAAACAAGAGAATTTCAAAATTTGATGATACTATACAACCAAGAATTCATTTGAATTCTTATTTCCAAACATGTTAAATAACACAATGTATGAATAATCTTAACCTTTTTAGGACATTTTTTGTATTCAAAGTTTAATTTAAGTGTTAAAACGAAATCATTATTTCTATGCATACAATTCAAAGTTCCGAAAATCATGGTTCTAATAACTCCTCTGTAACGCAATTTGGGAAACTATTTCGGTTCTCGAACACAGATATCTTTCATATGTTTTTGTATTGATCATCAAACCACATGAAACCATGATTTCATTAACTAAAACCAGATTCCCGGAAGAAGACAATAAATCACTATCATTTTCTCAACATTGCTACCGTATTAAATTCGGATGTCATGTTCTTATTCCACAGTATTGATTGTTTGAGTGACGTGTTGACTACATGATACACATCCAAGTCATAAAACTATGATCGATCTGAAATGCTAATGATATGTAGATCGTGACAATCAATATGTGTATTATATCGACAACACTGGACCAGAACGTTACATATAAGAAGATACCATCAATATGAACCTAAAGTGTTACAATAGAAAATCATAAATTAGATAATATATCTAGTACGGTATTCGAGAATCCACTCGAACCCTTGAACATCCAGCCAACACAAACAAAGTCCAAAACAAACGGTAACACCTTAACCCTGTCACGTAAGCCGACAACACAAAAACACATAACCTCGATAAGACTAGAGCTGAACCGGGTACCGATCGACACAATCAGCCCAAGGACTCTTCGCGGGCTTTCGAACCCTCTTCATCGCGCGCCAAACCGCGCTGTTGCACTTGAACCCCGACCCAAACGCGAGCTGCCAAATTTTATCCCCGCGCCTAACTCTCCCCTTGGCCTCCAGATACGCGAGCTCGTACCAGATGCTGCTGCTCGACGTGTTACCGAAGCGATGAAGCACAGCACGGGACGCCTCCAAGTTGCCTTCAGTGAGCTCTAAGTTCTTCTGGAGCTCGTCGAGGACGACTCTGCTCGCGGCGTGGATGCAGAAGTGGTTGAATGCGAGCTTGTAGTCGGGGATGTAGGGCTTGGTTGAGGCTGAGGTTGCGGTGGTGGATTTGGGGGTTTTGTTGGAGCCGAAGAGGTTGCGGTAGATGAGGGTGGCGAAGAAGAGGAGTTGCTCGGAGAAAGGGAGGACGAGGGGGCCGAGGGTGGTGATGTTGGCTTTCAGGGCGTGGCCGCCGACTTCCATTAGGTCCCGGCTGATTGACAGGCCTTTGATCCTCTGGTCGTCTTCTTGTTGGTACACGCACCTGGGAGATACACACACAGATTGCTGAGTTTCCGCAAATTGCAAGTGGCTATTAGTGTAATTTTAGTCGTGATAAAAATCCATTTTCGATCTTCCAAATATGAAAACGTTAGCTCCGATTGGAGTTGAATCAATATGAGAGTGTATTTATTTACTTCTGGATCTAGATGATCTGTCCAAATTTGCAAGCTAGGCATAATAGTTACAAAATTTTGTAAAAATGAGGCCTAACATATTACTTTTGATGATGTACGAAGAAATTGAAAGTGCGAAGGCATATGCAAACCTGAAGCTCCTATCGTCACCACCCTTGTGAGTCCTGACAATGTGCTCCAATTGGTACTTGGCCCTCGGGAAATCCCTCCTCCGGTTCGACAGAAGCACCGCGGAGCACCCCATCCTGAAGAAGCAGTTCGGAATCAGCATTGATCTGTTCTTCCCTGGATACCATGTGAAGTTCACTGCCTCCGTGCTCACCACCACCGCATAGTTGTTCGGATTTGCCTACAGTCACATAAATTACTCACAAATTTAGAAACAAAACATAATAAAATTAAGCTTTACGTGCAAATATACCGTATTTTTATCCATTTGTTGTCCTGAACTAATACCCTAACAAGGTTTCCTCGCTATATATCATCTGTATCGATCACATGATCAGTCTTATATGATGTCGATGCATTACATTACAATGAAATTCTCTTATTTCAATGTGCTGCAGAGAAATTCCCTATTATCTTGTACATGTCGCACATCGACTCCTATAACAAGAATTATAAGCGCTACCAAGTTTTAGAATAATTGTAAATGGTTAATATGTATATCATAGAGAGAATATATGCGCATTTAATCCTATAAATTAAGCCAAAATAAATTTCAAGTAATGTACCTGCAAGATATCGCGGGCCAAATCAAGGGAAATGATTCCGGCACTGCACCCCATTCCTCCAAGATTATAACTCAAAACATTCCCTCTCATCTTATAGTGATTCACTATCATAGCAGACAATGAAGGAGTAGGGTTGAAAAGACTGCAGTTAACAACTAAAACACCAACGTCCTTTGGACGAACGCGACACTTCTCGAAGAGCTCGTCGAGGGCTGCAAACATTGCGGTCGAGGCCTCTGTTCGGCCTTCCTTCATCGTGGCTGACGGAGTAGGAGCGAAGACGGATTTTGGAATGTAAGTCTCGTCGCCAATACCTGAGTTGGCGAGAATCCGGCGTTGGAATGAGAGGCTGTCTTCATCGAATTTGCCGGATTTGCGGGCATTCTCGATGAATTCCTCTTTCGAAACCTGCAGTGATAGAAAATGGATACTAATGTAAACAAAGTGCTCTCCATCTACTACCATCTCGCTGTCAAAATATGAATGTAAACATTGTGAAATAGTCCCTCTTTGTACTCTCCGACATTTGCATATTTGTAAAATAATTTAATAAGACAGATATATAATTAATTATCTGGCTTATGTATTAAACAAGTCACTAAGATTCAATTAGTTCGCAATAATTTATTAATTAGCCATAATATTTTATAAGTAAAATAATGGTTCCAGAGGTCGACGATGCTGATGGTTTATAAAAATACCTAAAAATCTATTTTTATGAACTAAGAAAGGGACTCTTTTGTTAAAAGTTTACCCTTATTACTAATTCTTGAACATGAAACTTGTGAGTGTCGAACTAACCTTATCAACATGAGAAAAGGGATGGACGATGGAATTAGATTTTTTTTTTGTACGGAAAAGAAAATGCAACTGAATCCCATCACCATTAGTGTGAGCAGTACTCAGCTCTTTGACAGGCAACATGAACTTTGTTGGCTAATCTGCTTCCTTATATACAAGATAGCTTATTATGATTTAAATAAACCAAAAATATTATCAGTTCCCCATATTTCAAATTAATTGATCAGTCTCATTCCATTCTACCGAAAACAAAAATCCTTATTTCTAATTCATAGATCTCATCAGTTTCATTTTTTTTGCCGCCTATATGACAGGAGAAAGTATCAGACCACGGTATTAAATATATGCACCAAATTAATATTAATTATTGCATCATTATTGAACTTGGGGATTCATACACGGTTAAAAATTCCAAGTGAATAATAGTACTAGGGATAGATCTTTTTTCTCTTCATGGATTATCACGGTCAAAATTTTACTGCTGTCAAAGATCAGCAAACTGCAGGTAGGTTAACTAACACAATTAATTAGAAACAATTAGATATGGTGATCAAAACCTAATTAGCAGATGCCATAATACAGTTGAGCGTCTTTACACCAAATCTAATTAACCCCGTCACTTTCTTCGGAATAAATGCTCCTGATCTAGTTTCGTTCAAATATTAAATTAAATTTTTTTGTCATACGTGTTCTTTAGCATGATCTCTTATAAATTAGACTTTGACAAATTTCTATTTTCTAAGGAAAAATATTATTGGCACTATAATACGAACGGTTTTACACTATAGCAGATCTTCATCATATTTAGACAATTAATAGCTAGCAAACTTCCTTATGTTAGGTTTAACATATGCAAAATCTAGGTTTTTTTAAGAGAAAACCTCAAGCATAGTATCTATAATATACTTTCAATCAGAAAGAAAATAAGTCTTTTTGGCGTCATGAGTTTTTTTGGCGATAGTGGGAGTCACATAAGAGCCATATAATTCCTACGTCCTAATTATATCTTTCTTTAATTACTCTGTTCGACCGACGTTAGTTGGAATTAGACGCTAAAACCTAGCTACATGAGCACGGCAAACAATTACAGGTTTTTGACAACCAACTTTAACTCAGCCGAGAAGTTAGCACACACAAAATGCGTGAACAAAATACCGAACATCAAGAACACAGGAACCAGTAGTAAATTAAGTTACCTTAAACTCATCGGCGGGCTTATAACAAGCGAAATCCACGAGATAAATCGGCCTCGGCCTGGACATAAAATAAACCGAGATGGTGAACACAAGAACACCGCGCACGCACGCAACCCGCTCCCGCGCCGCTCGCTCGCTCCGCTCCTCCTCCCAACTCTCGTTCCGATCTCCTCTTTCTCTAAGCTCCAATCTCCGCGGCCGAAAACGGCCACAAGAACCGGGATTCGTAGCACAAATAACATCCCGTGACTGATCAAATAGTGATAACCTAGCTAAACGTATCTTCAGGTAACTGACTGTAAGAAGTCGGCGTAGCCTGCGCCTGGACTCGACTCTCGCGCGCGCTGGCGTCGGGTCCGGTTGATCGACGCCTCGGTTTGCACGATCTCGGTTGATCGGAGAGTTGCTCTTCTGTTAGAAGACATTTTCTTTCTTCGTTTGCTTTCTTTTCTTTTTGGAGTTGTGGTTGGAGGTGTGAAGAAGAGACGAGGGATATTATTAAGAAGTGGGAGGGGAGCGCGGTGGGCGTGGGTGGGGGGGAGAAGTTTTTAATGAGTTCACCGAACAAGGGAGCGCGTAGTTGGAACTGCCATGAATTCACCCCTGCAATTTTTCACAATTAAATGAATGCATGGGGGAGAGAATTCGGGGAAGAAAAAGGAAGGGAATTAAAGAGAGAGGAGTTTAATGAGTGCAAGGATTGGTTTGCTTTGCTTACTATTAAGAGAAGGGATGGAGGAATTTATTATGTTGTCCCTTTTGGAGCGACGTGTCAAATATTATACTTGACTAAAAAAAAAAAAATTAGCCATGCCAGTTAACTATTTTTATACTAAAAGATGCAAGTGACATTCATGATTTTTATATCAATTCACAAGTTCATCCACGTAAATTTGCCTTTGCACTTTTGCAGTATGACGGTTATATATAATTTATTGGTACAATAAAATATCAGTAGAAAAATCAACTCAATAAGCATATAAATAAGGATTCAATAAGGATTCGGATCCTGTCCACTATGAAAAAAAGTAAAGAGAGACCACTAATTAATCATAGTTATTAACAATACAGTGGTTGGTTATGATTGATTCTTTTATTACAAATTAGAAATGAGTGTAATACATGAGGTACGATGAGTGTTCGACTTAAAATGTATCACGATCATCCACTATTAACAGTGACATTAAAAGTAGTGATGTCTCCTGTACTTTTTGTAGTGGAGACGATCAAACTTCATAATTAAGTAAAATTCCTATTCTTAAATTTAATATTTATGCATCATATTCTGATTTTTTTATAGAAGGCCCTCTATATGATATGATTTTTTTTTTCCAGTGGGCCAAAAAACCTTCTCTTTACCCAAAAAGGATACGTGAAAAGTGAAATTAACACAACAATATTGTTTTTTTTATGTAAAAATA